ACCAACCCGCCCCCCCCGGTGTTTGCCATCGGGGTTGGGTTTTCGTCGCTTGGCAACGACGTTGCAAAACAAGCCCCCCCCTCGGTGTTTGCCATCGGGGTTGGGTTTTCGTCGCTTGGCAACGACGTTGTGAAACAAGCCAATTCACTTCGTGAACTCGGCAACCAGGTTACCGTTTTTTTTTTGCCTCGGTTTTTTTTTTGGCGGTAACCATAATGGTGGTCGAGTAGATCATGTTGTGCGGGGTGGAGAACCCTCACTCCGCGCAACGGGGGATGATCGCACCACGTTGTGTTAAAATGGTCAAGCATCCTCGAGGCAGGTACACAGTGCTTACAACTGTCTCTGGAAGTGAAAGCACCAGAAAATAAATTAAGTCATACGCAGCTGTCATCCGTACGCAAGGAAGTAAGCACAAGATGCCGAACACCCCTAGCAGGATGCAGCTCACCCTTCATGCGACTCGCCAAATACCTCACGGTGCTTCGCGCTTGGTGATGTGAAAGCCTGGTCCGGTGAGAACCCGGCGTGCTCCGTCCCGGCTTTATAGGGATGCGAGGTCAATGGTCTAACGACTACGGCATGCACGACTATGAGTACACCCCCCCCCCCCCCCCCCCCCACGAGAGTCATCGGGGTTGGGCTTTCGTCGCTTGACAACGACGTTGTAAGACACTCCGATTGCTTCGTGAGCTCCACAATCAGGTTTCCGCCTTTTGTTTCCCTTTTTTTGTTTTTGAGGTGACTATTGTGGTGGTCGAGTAGATAATTTTGTGCGTGGTCGAGAAACTCACGGCACGCAAAAGTGGGACGATGGCACTATAATATGTTGTGTTAATTTGCCCAGCACCCTCGAGGCAGTTAGACTAAACGTGCTGTAACTGTCTCTGGAATTGCAAGCACCTTAAGCCATTCGCAGCTGCCATCCGCATGCAAGAAAGTAAGCATAAGATGCCGAACACCCTTAGCAGGACGCAGCTCACCCTCCATGCGACTCGCCGAATACCTCACGGCGCTTCGTGCTTGGCGATGTGCGAGCCTGATCCGGCGAAAGCCCGACATTTCGCTCCGTCCTGGCATTGTCGGGATGCGAGGTCAATGGTCTAACGTACGGCATGCGTTTACATGAGAACACCCCGCCGAAACAAAACCCAAAACCCCGGCCCCGGCCCCAGATGCATGCACGTTGTTCACTCCCTCCCTGGGTTGGGTCCTATGAACCCCCCTTTCAGTCAGCTTGCTCCTCGCTTCGGACTACAGTAATCCAGACGCAAACCTAACTCAACCTGTAGCCCTAAGAGCTCAACCCTACTCCCAACCCATACAACAGCGGGAACCCGCCCTTGCCCCTGCGGCCCTGCCCAAGCCCTCCCTCATTGCGCAAGCCCCCAACATCGTTCCCCCACGCAATTCCTTTTCCAGGAATTCTCGCTTCGGGGGTATCGACTACACCCACGGCATCTACGCGGGCTTCGGAAAGTCTTGCCGCTGAGAAAACGACAACGGCGAAAAACACCGGTCCGAACGAACGATCTGCCGATCCCTTCGAGTGAACATGGAGACTCGTCGTTAACGCTGTGGCGTGGGCTTTAGGCGGTAATGTTACTGCTTCCTACCCCCCCCCCCCCCCCGGATTTATTTCCTATCGTTCGAGCCCCCATATCAAAATGCGGCAGAAAAGGGGGATGGTCTTTGTGCTCCTGCGTGTGGTGGGTGATTTGCCCCTTTTCTCGACTGTAGGTGTACGCGGGAGTTGATTGGTTGTCGTAGGTTCTGCGAGGATCGCTGGACGATTTTCCGATTTACGCCAACAGACGGCGAGGCACTTGAACTGCTTCAAGAGGATGTATGTTGTTCTGTTGTCGTTGTCGTACCGACTTGCGGCGCTGCTCTCAATGGCATAGAAGGATGCGAGGGCAAGGGGGGGGGGGGGGGGGGGCGAACTGGGCCCGGGGTTTTTTTTGGCCCTTGCCTTTCCCCTTTTTGGGGGGGCCTTTTTTTTCCCCCCAAAACCCCAAAAAAAAAAATCCCGGGGGGAATAAGGGGGGGGGGGGGGGGAAAAAAGAGGGCCCCCCGGGAAAACCCAATGGGCCCCTTTTTTTTTCAAAAAAAACTTA